CCTGTTTCCTTTGTCCGAGTTCGGAGACCCCGGCCACCCATATAAACCATATGTCTCCGATCCCGGAGTCCCCGGCAGGAAGTGGTTAAGGCAACATTTTAGTTGTTTAGCAATATCCAAATGTCCTCAAAGTTACACCATAGAAAGATCTCGAAGCAAAAATAATACTAAAATTATCACGTTGAGATGACGTTATCAAGTGATTTATTGATAAATTTTGAATATGTAAATATTACATTAATGTTGTAAAACTCCATATGATATCAACCGTGGCCTCCCTCAAAATTCTCTTCGCAGCAAGTGGCAGAGTATAATTTGGTCTTCAATTCATGTTGTATGGGTCAAATCGTGTGACCCTTCTTTCCATTATTATTTTATAAGTTATAAGTAATAATAGGTATAAAGTTGTTTTCAATGGTGTTAGTCTGTGGGGGTATAGTATTCTTCAAATCATCTACTGATGACGTCAGTCCATAATTGTTAAGTGCCCTCTAGCAACAGGTTGAAAGAAAAAAATGAATTTTGAATAGATGCCTGTGGCGAAGTTTGTCCGAATCACCTGAAAATTGATGTACATGTAGATGAGGATCTTTACCCAGTTACATATCTTCCACCAACGACTTAAGTGCCTAAGCAACTTTGGATCTTCATGAAACTAATACAATGAAGTATCCTTATGCATGTAATGGTAGATGGTCAGTGTGTGATTTCAAGTTGCAGCCAAGTGATTGAGACATTGCCTTGGGCAGACAAGACCAAAGTAGAAGTCACGAGCTGAACGAAATCTTATGTTGAATTTTTTAAGAATTAATGCTAGGCATAAGTTGATATGCCTAATTTAAAACTTTAATGTGTACAATTGATTCATATTCTGACTTACGTTGGTATCAAGTCATAATGTGTAAGTCCAAGTCAAGCCACTAGTCATTTTTTATAAGTCTAGGTCAAGTCAAAAACTGATTGTTACACTTCAAGCCACGAGTCACAAAAATAGCTACTCAAGTCCAATTCAAGTGACTTGAGTCACAACTCTGGTTGTTTTTTCATCTTAGTTCATGGAAGGCTGAGTGTTGATGGATGGTCTACAGGACTGATGCTTAGACCAATTTTGGTACTTAATTTGTTTGACAGTGTTTTATCACATAATTCTTGTTTATCTTTACAGCATACGGATGACTATTCCAGAACCAAAACCATTGCTGAGATGCTTGTCTTAGACTCAAATGGCAGAAAAACACAAAGTGAGTAGATTCTTTGCTTGAGATTTATCACTGTGTTGAGCGTATGCTCAGTTCACATGTCATAACGGTCCACAGCAGACCAATTTTCTTGATGATGCAAGATTCTCATCAGGAACTTCAGATCAACCCGAGGGGTTACATGTACACTTACAATACAGGTCAGAATTTTAGCTGACACGCTAACACGATCAGTGAACCTGACACGTTGTTTAATGTGCACTTTGCGGTTTTTACCATGCATTGCTGGTCCAATTCATGATAAGCCTGACCCTGGACCTCATCATCTCAGCAGAGCTTCTGACCGTAGACCGTAAAGGTGACCGACAACGTGTAGTGAACCACTGCACACACAGGGCCCTCCCTCCAGCTTCGTGTATGTATGCACATTGTACATACATACATGTACACTGTATGGCAGTGCAGAATAAGTTAAATCACGTACATGTAGCACCTGGCTGGCAAGATGACCATCTTGAAGTATCGAAATATGTATCACAGCAATTTTCTTTTAGTTTTGGATCGCAAAAATTGTTAGTCAGATTACATGTGGAAAATGTCAAATTTCAGTGAAACTGACCAGCAGTCCACCATGTGTGTTTAGCTACTACAAAACCTTTTCCCAAATGTAAGCTTTGAATTTCAAACTCACAGGATCGACTGGAATGATGACAACGCTTTTCTTTCTGGTTCTAATGCCAGATCGGTTTTAAGCAATTCCAGATTTTACGATGAAGTATTTCTTATTTTATGGAAATTTAGTTCATGTATCAGAATTCCAGTAAATTAAAAAAACACCCACTGAACTTGCGTAAATTTAAACTTGACGTTTTTATTTGCTGCCACATGTGCCGCGACCATGCGGTGACCAAGCAATCAGGAAACTACAACCACCCCAGCACTTTCATCCCAACCACCAATCATAAATTGAAACAAGTGTATTGCATATTCATTTTGATACAGCACCAACAAATGCAAAGCTATAGCCCTTATATGTCACACGACATGCATATTTATGAAGTTGACATGGATGCTACAGTGTACTTTGTCCATTGTGTGCAGCTGGGGCATGCACATCGGTAGTGCAGACCCGAATTCCTTTCATTTCCTCATGATCTTTGCCGTTTAGTTTGGTCTTAATTTTGTCAAAATCACAGCAATTTTTCAGGTAGGTTTTCCAGCTCAAAGGTTGAAAACAGATGGGAAAAATCCCCACCTCACATCAAATTTACATTTATGCGATTTTTAACACACTGAGTTCGAGTACGGCAACAACTATCTATGTGTATGCTAGGATCGCTGCTGTGGGGGCTGTCTTGAATAAAATTTGGCTAGTGGACCGGCGAGGTCAAACTCTGTTTATATTTTGGGGATTTCTTACAGAATAGTTTCCTCTAATTTAGGAAATGTTTTATCATAAAAACTGCTAGTTATAATTGTCTCGGTTGAAAAATTGATTGTGCACTCGAATATTTTCTGTGCCTGAGTAAGAAGTTTTGGGAGCTATTCAGACATAAACCAAAAATGTTGCCTGTGTGGCACTTTCATCAGCATTGTATAGCCAAACAAAATGCTTTATATTCAAAAATAATTGGAATTGGAGATATTAGGGGTGGAGTCAAAGTAGACATGGTAGAGATGGGATGATGGGATATGGATGATGAGGGTATAATTGTAGAGGATAGGATGATGGGGTTGGATTCAAAGTGCAGAACTGTACTTTTGAAGGATTTTAATTTTACACCATCCATCAAACTCACAAATGTACTTATTATATAATCATATAGGTCGAGTCTGATTGGACTGGACCCACATTTTACAGGCATTCCTCTCTCCTGTAAAGAACTGTGAAGCCTTCGTACCTGTATCTCCCTTGTTGGTGGTCTTTGTTGATTTACTTTTAAACAACAGGGGCCTTTCAACACACAGTCTGCACATAGTACTAACTAGGATTTTTCTCCTAGAGTACAATGAATTTTATTGCTAAGGTCAATAAAATATCTTGTACATCTGTATTGCAGTCGTATGTCAACCAGTCTTGTAAAAAATTTTGATGAAGCTTGGTTTGTATTTTCTTGTTTAATTTTAACCATATTTGTATAACTTGGATGTCTCTTTCTTTCCTGTTATAACGGGAAAGAAATTCAAATTCATAACAAGCAGTGAGCCATGGCGGCTTTGCCGTTCTAGTCTTTATGGGAAACTAGGAAAATGGCTGCTCCGTTCAACAAAGGCTTGACTGTTCTAGGGTTTGCGTGTAGCGTGTGCATGTTTATACTCAGCAGATAGGATTGTGGCGTCAGCGTTCTCTATAAATGCAGGGTCAGCGTGTTTTTTGTTTGCGGGTAATTCCTTTCGTGTCTGACTCGATACACACTAACATGCTAAACATGTTTGCGTGTCTGCTAAAATTCTGACCTGTACTGTAGGCATTTTGCTTACTTCAGTTGACAGGGCAGCTGGACTTCATGAATCTGTGCACAGTTCATAATAGACAAACCTGTATCCTCTGCTGCGGCCCTTTTCAACAGCTTTCTTGGTTGTTTTTCCTCAGTTTGGAGACGGTGAAGTGATTATCCTAATGATAATAACAATTAGGGAATTTAACCCATTTACATCACAGTTCTGTGCTTCTGCAAAACAGAACCCCCCAAAAAAATGCGCGGAAAATGCAATAAATTCACCAGTCCAGCTTCACAAAATTAGCTGGTTTGCGTGAATACCTGTTTCATTAGTTTTCTGGCAAATTGGGGAGATCAATTCATTACCTTTCAGTTTAAATAGCTTTTTAAAACCATAGAGTGCTGGGCTAAGTGTCTGTGTATGAGTACATGTAGGGTAATACCTGAACAGGCCTCATGAATACTTTTGTACCATAGCTACATGTACTTGTTGCAGAAGAAATACATAACCACTGCAGCCAGCTATCGGACATTGTAGGGCTTCTGCCAGAAATGTCCCACCTTTATCAGTAATGTGCCTTTTGTACAGATGGAAAATTCCTAACTTCCTAGGATTATGTTTCAAACCCTAGAGGCCTACATTCCTTATTTTTTTGGGGGGGGCTGTCTCAGAGGCATTAGCAATGCTGTTCTCTTCCATTTTTGTTGACAAACAGAACAAACGGCCTCTGTGCTGTATTTGCATTGGAGAGAGCAGACGGGAAATAAGCTTCCACCCTTCAATCTATGATTGCCATGTTCAGTAATCACTGTTGTCATCAGAGAGTAACCAGCTAATCTTCAAATTCATTTTTGTTTCCATCAAATGAGGAACATTGGCTACCTTAATCTACTTGATAATCTGTTGGTTGAGTAGCATACCACAGTATGTGAAAGAAATTAATTAATGATGGTCCCATCATCACAATATACACATGGCCACATGTTTTACGTGTACTTGAGAATTTGGCCTAAGAAGTTTTGACCACCATGTCATGCCTCCTTTAAAGAAAGCCTATTATACGTGCCTATTTTGAACCCTTTCTATTTTTTCTTGTATACCCAATTTCAGGTATATATGAGGGGGCTTAATATTAATGTCAAGTTCCAGCACTCCAGTCTCTTCAGAAAATTAAACACAGTATTTGTATTTGATGTACAGTTCAACAGCATGGTCCTGCATTGTATTGGTTTTCCCCACTTGCCAAAGGCCAAGCCAATTTAATTAGTTGTTTTAAAACAATTAATATTGATTTTTTCAGGTGCTGAGAAGGCTTGCAAGGCAGGACATAATACAATTGGCTGACATTTACACGTATATGTGTATTCTGTATAGCAAAGTAAAAGTTCCCTCATCATGAAATTATACATGAACCTGCAGCATGAACTCAGGGCTCATGAAATTTTAAAAAATGTAGTTGCCCTTCGGGCAGGGGAGTCTAAAATCTGGTTGCCTGAATTTCATTTTCAGTTGCCTGACAAGGAAGTTTTAGCCCCACATGGTCTCCAAGCTTTTAGTAATTACAGTTGTTTTCCTAGTTCTGGATCACTTCAAATAACTACCCACCTTTTTGCTATTGCTCTGCAGCATTTATTCACGCTACGATGACTTCTTTTTGAAAGGTAAAATAAAAATCCTGTAGTACAAATTTTGTTCCCAGAAATTTCAAGAAAAGGAATTTCGGCTAAATTTCTGATCCGTGCTTGGAGGTTTGTTGACATTTTGTCAAAAATCATGGGAACACAAAAAATCAACACCTGAAAATGTAACAGGTCGGTAGGTCACTCACTATGCAAGATTCCATAAATATTTTTTGTAGTTTCGGATCGCGCATGCAATGTACACGGGTATGAATGTTCTGAACTACATGTGTGTAACAGATTTGTATGTGACGCAATGGGTTTGTCAACTTCGCGGTGTGGTGAATTTATGGTTGACGGCTCACTATGCAGCAAAGTCAAGTCATAATTTATTCAGGCAATCCATTTTGTTGCACTGAAATTCTAATATATAAACTAATCCTGTTTAAAATAAGACATGCTTTACTAGAAAATATGCTTGTTAAAATGGTTTTGGCTGAGAAAAGGGTTTATGCTTGACTACTTTTTATGTGTAAAGAAATTTTTGAAGCGATCCAGAACTGGCTAAACCGATCGAGAAGTAGAACTGGGAAAAGTGTCATTGTCGCTCTTGTAAGACAAAATTTAAAGCTTAAAATTTGAAAATATTTTTGAAGTACCTCCTGCATACATGTACAAGGTAGAACCCTGACCCCATTTCATTAGAATATGAAGATAATTGAGCTGTAATGTGACTGAATATAGTTTTCGTGATCCAGGACAAAAAAATGACTGAATAATAGATATGGTTGTGTTGTTCATGCCCATGATTCGACTGGATGTACCGCAGTGCACGATTCGACCAGATGTACTATGGTGCACCTACCTGAACAAGTACAGTCGTGCAACATCTAGGTTAGGATGTTGATCTTTTTCGCGGTCTTTTTTTTTTGCGATCTTTTTTCCTTGCACGGTGCTGAAATGTCTAAAATGCTGGAATTG